GGACTCAACCTGTTCAGTGAAAACCAAATTCTCAAGACTCAACCCTGCCTGCACAGGCACCCAGTAAAGCAGCCACAGCAACGAGCAGGCAAAGGCCGATTCTTCCAGGGAAATCTTGTTAGAATATCCTTGCCCCATGCTCAGTGCCTGGCTTTGAACCAGTTTCGGAACTGCCACCCCCTCGAGCTGACAACAGCTGGGACCGCAGTGGGGTTTAATTTCCCGTCTGTGCTACTATCTCCTGGCCCCTTCAGGCCAGCCGTGGAACAGCATTGCTGCCCGTCGGCTGCTATTCGTCCTGCCCCGAAGGCAGGTGGCACAACCAGGCAGGGGAGGCAGAGAACGGACAGGCCACGCAAAGACTGATGCAAAAGTGTATTCTGACCTCACAGCCCCTGCAAGAGGAGCACGGCGCGGTTCACAAGCAGGCTTCCAGCCAAACAACAGGCACCTACCTGATCACGTACAGTCTGCTTTCAAACAAAGCACTATTTTAATGTTTCCCACCACTGTCACAACCTCCTGGACTAATGCAGCAAATGACGCAGCACCCAACAACAACAAAAAGCGCTCACGTAAATGAAATGAATAGCAAAATGATGCTCCAGTAAGCGAATGTATTAGCATGGTCATTCACCCAGTCATGCCCCATTATCGTGTATCTTGACACGCAATGACAGAGACAGCGGGATTCAAAAATACAGGATACATTTCAGTTGGGTTTTGGTTTGTGTTACCGCAGCCATGGCACCGTGGATTTTCTTTAAAAAGCCTGCCCTTTCTCTCCAGCTTGTGACCTGAATATCCAAATCAGAGTAGGTTGGGCAGCCTTTCAAAGAGAAGAAACCCCCCTCCCCTCCCCCTGTGAAATGAGGGGAGAAAGGGGAAAACAAAAAAAAGCTGAGTTGGTCTAATGAAAAATATCAGATTCATCCAACGAAACTTGTCTGCCTATGTCCTTAGCCCAACATGGCTACAACCTACACCCATGGTAAATCCAACACACTGGCAGAGGCAGCCTGGCTGCTCAATTTACCCCATGGTCAGATTGATATGCACCATGGGGGGTTTCTGGCTTCTTCCATAGCAGAGGCTTGGCATATATTGACATCATTGCATAGAAGCGGGACGTCGGGTGCCACGGTCTCCTTGCGGCAAACCTGGTCCACATTGTGACAGCGTTGAGATATCAAGTTTAGACAATGGAGCATATAGGATGGGTTGGATGGGCACAATCCTGCCTCAGCCTAGATGACCTCTGCAGATCCCTTCCAGCCCTGCTTCCCCAGGATTCAGCTCATTATGAAAAAGCGTCACCGGGAGACTTGGGCCAGACAACACAGAGGTGCACTCCACAGACCCAACTCTGGATAAAATCATTTGGGGGCTCCCCCTCCTCCAGCTAAAGAAACTGCCTCCCACCAGCACAGATCAGACCTGCTGCCTGGCACCGCCAGAAAGAAGACCTCCGCCACCGACCGTGGCAGAGGACATGCCTGGCACAGGGGAGGTCACAACACACCCTTAAGCACGCTCGGGACCCTTCCCTCTGGCACTGGCAGGGTTTGGGGGTGCAGGCTCCCCTGCAGAGGACTCCAAGGAGTGTTTGTGGGGGGCTGCACGGTGACAGCACGCAGGGGCACCCCTCTCCCCTGCCCTGCCCCCAGGCTCAGCCCAGACAGCCGCAGCCGGCGGAGGCACAGAGGCAGCGGCAGGCGAGACTCGGCTGCTCCTCCTCCGCCTCGCAGGAAACCAGCGGTCGGTCATGGAGTGAGCCCCGGCGCCGGCCGCCGTCTGCAGCTGCAGCAGCCGCCGGGCTCACCACATTCCTCGCGGCCCCGGGCAGCCTCCTCCTCCTCCTCCGTGACCTTTGCAGCCGCCCACGCGTGGGGCTGCCCGTGACAAGGGGGGGACTGCAGCACGGATCCATGAGCTGAGCTGGCCGAGGCAGGAGGCTGGTGGGTGGTTAGCGATGACCAAGAAGGGCAGGGGGCAGCTGCGCCCCAAGCCCAGGGGGTACTGGTAGGATGGGTTTGGGGAGTATCTGATGCCCCAGACACACAGGAGGATAGCTGCCTGGCAGTAGATGGATGATTACCTTCTGCTCAGTCAAATTTTTGCAACTTGGCTTGCAAAATCTGGAACTGATTTGGCCTTGAGAAAGATTTAAAAACCCAAAGAAGTTAGGGTACAAACTACGCAGCATCTCTTAGGAGGGCAAAGTGTTGCCTCCGCTCTTCCGCCCCCCACGCAGCACTGACACGGCAACCGCAGGCGGCAGCCAGGACAGATAAATTGTGCCCATTCTTTAACCGTTTCCTTGGATAACTGTTGTGAACGTACTGGACACGCCAGGCATTGCCAGAGATTTCCAAATTCGAAACGGCTTTTCAGTCCGCTCCGTGCGCTCCCTGTGTTACCCGACTCACAGGACGCAGCAGAAAGCGCTGTCATGATAAATGCTGTGGCTGGAGCTTGTTCTGATGGGGGGAAAATGTCTTGCTGTACAGAAGCAACCTCTCGGTTGGGCAGGCCAGATTGGGTGTCAGGCACCCTCAGGAGAGACACAGGAGGCCGGCCACCTGTGAGACGTGGTTGCTCTTTATTCCTGCAGGGTAGAGAGCGGGCTGATGCTTGGCTCTGTGAGGTTGGCCTTATCCTTAAGTTAAAGGGCCTCAAGTGCAGACCCCCAATACCGTCCTGTATCCAACCCACACCCCAGTACTACCGCAACCAATGCCTGTGCCTGGGCAGAGCCTGCAGGCACACAAGAACACCTCGATCTCATTTTTCCAAGGTGCTGGGGGCCCTGAAATTAATGGGAGCCAGAGGGACTCAGCACCTCTGAAAATCAGACCCAGAAACCTCTTCGTGCCTCAGTGATCTCATCTGTAAAATAGGAATAGCAATAGCTCGTGGCTGTTGTGAGGAACTAGTCCTTTAGTCCCTGCCAAATACTCTGAGATCCTGGACACCAGGGAAGATGTTATGTAAGTGCAAATCATCATTTTAATGGCTTTACATTTTATTTTTTAAAAGGAGAGGAGTGTTTTACAATTAAAGGACTCCTACTAGGACACATTTATCAGCTATAATGAACTCCATCTTTCATTCTGGTTATTTCTTAACAACTTCAGGTTGTCTTCCTGGAACGGCACAATGTGCTCAGTGGGTTTAGCAAGTTCAAGAAACCAATGGTAAGCTTCCTGACAGCAAGAGACAGCCTCAAAGGAAGGACAAGCATGCCAAGAACACCGGGCAAAAAGAGCAAAAAATAAAAGCCAGTCACTGAGCTAGGAGCACCAGATAATAAAGGCTATTCTGACAGCGACAACCTTCCTTCTTCACCAGACTGGAGAAGGGGATGGGGAGACAAGTAGGAAAAGATTTTCTTTTTTCCTTCCCTGACTCTAAATGTACTTCTGCTTCCATCTCCATCAGGAGTTCTCAAACTTTTTCCAGTTTAGACAACATTTTAATATGGGTATTTTTTTCCTAGACAACTCCCCACCCATTTGCAATCACAGCATCCCTGTGCCAACAACAGCAAGTGCTGATGTAGGAAAGGCACCATTAGCAGCAAAGTATTTGAATGTCCTTTTAGCTGTCTTTCAAAGCAACGGGGAGGGCCAACATCAGGTGACCAGCCCTCTCTCAGCAGAGACCAGAAAGTGCTCTGCAGATCAGCAGCGGTTCATGGACCACAGTTCAGGAGCCGTCTGCTTAATAATTAAAGTGCACCGAGGTGCCAAACCTGCAAGCGCTTACTAAGCAGCTTCAAGCTTAGTCCCGCTGAAGTCAAAGAGCCTGCCCAGGGAAACCAATGCTTCCTCCGGCAGGATCAGGACTGCGCCCACGACAGTTTACTACTTGTCAAACAGAAACTGAAAAAAATGCAGAATCTAAGCAGTATCAGTAGGCTCTATGTTGTGAAAACTTTTTTGGACCCAGCTTAAACTACTACTTCAGGAGCTCAAAGACATACATCACAAATATAGATTATATAGATGGGTATTGACCTACGCAGGCCAGATGATGCATCATTTATTCTAAGCCACTTTCCATGTGAAAGAGCATAGGCATGTGTGTGCGCCTGTATACACACACAGACACACGCGCACCCCAGGACTCATTTAAATTCCCATGTAAAATTATAAAGATTCTGCACTTTGAGAGATTGACCCTTGTGACCTCATAAAGACAAACTAAAGAGAATGATCATCTCTTCCAGAGATACATTTAAAAATTGTAAAATAGCAGGTGTTTCCACCGTTCGCATGATAACAGATGTGTGAAGTTACAATCATGCATTCAACACATAATTCAGCCCAGCTCTACGCACCAAACAAGGTTTGCACGACTGACGCGGTACACCCGCCTATGTCCCTAGTCACCCCATGCCTAATTTCTTTGCTCTACACAGTTATGACGACATTTTTTTTTTTTATTTGTGACATCAACCTCTCTGCCGCGAAAATGCTGATGTCGCACACCAGGAGATTTTGATGTACCAAGACAAGAGGCTGAAAGTGCTGTGAACTCCAAGTTAAGCAAGGAGAAGGAGGGGAGGGAGAGATGCAAGAATAGGGACCGCCACCAAGGGTATAAAAGTTGGGTCTGCTGCTCCTTCTCCGGCTGATCTACGTGATTCCACTAACGTTTTGCAGGGGATGAGTATTTTGAGCCAAATCTTCATTTATTTTTTTCTCCCCCACCCCCAGTTGCAAAGTATAACAAAATTAATTGGTGGAGGGGAAGAGAAGAGGTGGGTAGCTGGGCTATTTCTCCCCGACAAGCAGGGGTGGACGGCACCCCCTTCCTCCATCCCGGGAAAGGTCCCGTGTCCCGGTGGGGATCGAACCAGCGTCGGGCGGTCCTGCACCGTGCTCTGCCCGCAGCCTGCGGCGGGGGGGCCCCCCCGGTGCCCGGGCCCGCGGCCGCACGGGGGGGAGGGGGGGGGGGGGGCTGCACCGCAACCCCGCGCTGAGCAATCCTCTTACCACTGGAGACGAGATGCGGCACCCGGGGCAGTCGCAGATGGGGGGATGTACCTGTAAGATCCCTTTGGACATCAGAGTCTTCAAACTTTTCCCTGGATGCGGGAGCAGGAGGAGAAGAGCCGGTTAAGGAGGCGCTTCGGCCGCCGGGATAAAAGGCAGGCGGAAAAAAAAAAAGCCGCTTCCCATGCACATCCCCCCCGCCCTCCCCCTCGCA